TTTTTTTACAAAATGATAGCATCTAAAGCAATAAGAACCTATAGAATGTAAGTATAAAGCGGCACTTGATCCTAAGATGTTTGAAATTAAATGTAAATTGCTTATATTAAAGTAAGTTTTCGAATTGAGTGTAGTAAGCTATACATACATATACATTAATCATACACTTTTTCAATATGCATCTGCATACACACACAAATCTACAAATTTTTTACTACTGCAGTTAAAAAGTGTATGTGTATTTTTAATTATTTTATATAAATTTTTTTGCAGACGAAAAATCGAAAGCATTGGCAAGATGACTCAAATGACACAAGACGAAATAATTAGCAACACCAAAACAGTGCTACAAGGCCTCGAAGCCTTGCGTGTGGAGCATGTCTCCTTGATGACTGGCATGGGCGAAGCGCATAGGGACAATGAAAAATCCGATATAGTGCGTAAAAATATTGAACATATTGAATTGGGCCTATCCGAGGCGCAGGTGATGATGGCTTTAGCCTCACATTTGCAAAATATTGAGGCCGAAAAACAAAAACTAAAAACACAAGTACGACGTTTACATCAAGAAAATGCTTGGTTACGTGATGAACTCGCTAATACACAACAAAAATTCCAAGCCTCCGAGCAGTTGGTAGCACAGCTGGAAGAGGAGAAGAAACATCTCGAATTCATGGCATCCGTTAAGAAGTATGATGATAATCAGGAGCAAGAAGATTCATGTGAAAAATCACGTACCGACCCAGTTGTCGAACTATTTCCCGATGAGGAGAATGAGGAGCGGAATAATATGTCGCCAACACCGCCAAGTCAATTTGCCAATCAAACTGCTGGCTATGAGATACCAGCACGTTTACGTACTTTGCATAACTTGGTGATTCAATATGCATCGCAAGGCAGGTGTGTATGTATGAGTAGGCATGTACATATGTATGTTTGCATACGAGTAAACTTATTTACATAGATTAGTATGTGCATAAAAGGGTTCATTGAGTTCAAAAACACAATTTTGAGTAGTCAAGTGGTCAGTGAGTGGATGGAGCGCAGAAGAGAGCGTAAAGTGTTGTAGAAAAAAAGCATAATTGAGGGAATTTTCAGAAGCAGGAATAAATACTTACCGGCTTTTTGAAGCCGGTTTTTATTTTTTGATGTTAGGTTGAACCGGACTTGAACCCAGGACCTGCGGAATGGTAGCGCGCAATGTAACCCACTACACCACAGCGGCCGCCCACACGTGCATTCCTTAATTCTATTTTCAACCGAATTAAGGCCGTTTGTTGAAAATAAGGAACATATTGCTAGTTTGCTAAATAGTGAAAAGCTTTAAAGTTTTAAGTTAGTGTTTCGGTATTGAATAAAAAAGTAAATAAAAAAATTAAAGTATAACTTTGAAATTTAATCCAGAGAATTATTAAACCTTTGTTTGGTTCCTTACTTTGACCAAAAGTGTTTATTTTCGTGTTATAACTGATAAACGAGTAAAGTTAAATAAGTTTGTCTTATACTAAGCTTATTTTGTAAATCGATTATCTTTTACGATTTCAGATATGAAGTAGCGGTACCGCTTTGTAAACAAGCACTTGAAGATTTGGAGAAGACTAGTGGCCACGACCATCCTGATGTGGCTACAATGTTAAACATCCTAGCTTTGGTGTATCGCGATCAGGTGAGCACACAAAAAAATATAAATCAAATTTCCCATACTAACTATTCCCACCTATATGTATCAGAACAAATATAAAGAGGCAGCAAATCTACTCAACGACGCTTTATCCATTCGTGGCAAAACACTAGGTGAAAATCATCCGGCCGTTGCTGCTACCTTAAATAATTTAGCTGTTTTATATGGCAAACGCGGCAAGTATAAAGACGCTGAACCACTATGTAAACGTGCTTTGGAAATTCGAGAGAAAGTACTCGGCAAAGATCATCCAGATGTGGCGAAACAGTTGAATAATTTGGCTTTGCTATGTCAAAATCAAGGAAAATACGATGAAGTTGAAAAGTATTACCAACGTGCATTAGAAATTTATGAATCGAAACTTGGTCCAGATGATTCGAATGTCGCCAAAACAAAAAACAATCTGGCTAGCTGCTATCTGAAGCAGGGTAAATACACAGAAGCCGAAATCCTCTATAAACAAGTCTTAACCCGTGCACACGAGCGTGAGTTTGGCGCTATAGATAGCAAAAATAAGCCAATCTGGCAGGTAAGTATCAATTGTAGCTAGTTTCAAAAACGAAAAAACAACAAAAATTTAAAAGAAAAAGGCAGCAAAAAAGCTAAACAGCGCTTTGCAAATGAAACGAAACAAGAAAAAAAAAGGAAAAAGTCGTGTTTGCGCTTAACAGCGTGTTTCTAAGTCAAATTTACTCTAATGGATATGAACGAATGATACTGTTTTTTTTGTAATGTAGCGGGTGGTTCTCTACTTTAATGACTTTGTATTACTTCTATTCTAATAACTACTTAAATTGTTTTACTAAAGTAGCGTTTGTAAACAATGTTGCAATACCTTTGAAATCCAATTCCCTATAGGTGGCCGAAGAGCGTGAAGAGCATAAATATGATAATCGTGATAACACACCATATGGCGAGTACGGTGGCTGGCACAAAGCGGCGAAAGTTGACTCTCCTACTGTTACGACAACACTAAAGAATCTCGGTGCCCTATACCGGCGACAGGGTATGTTCGAGGCAGCCGAGACACTAGAGGACTGTGCGTTGCGTAGCAAAAAAGAAGCACTAGATTTAGCGAAACAAACCAAAGTTGCACAACTGCTTACCAGCGGCGAAAAGAGGCGCTCAAGACATTTCAAAGAAGATGCTGATAATGATGAGGTAATTTTTAAAATTTTTTGGAAACTGTAAATTTGCAAATTGCAAACTTTTTTTGGGATGCAGTTTTTTTCATTTAATATAATTACCTATATTTTTTGTTTTCTTACACGGCTTTTTCCTTCATTCGAAATAACCTCATCGATTTGTATATTGTTGATCACTTTTTAGTTGCCATTCGTACATATGTACATACATATACATACATATTTTTGATTTCTTCATCTTGCATGCTTATTTTTTTATTTACAACTCTAATCCTTTAAATTTTATGCCATCGCATAGCGTTGATTTGAACCCCCGCTTAAGGTTAATGCTGAGCATGAGATGCTCATTAACATGCATTAAGCCTCTGATATTTCTTTTCCTCTATGATTATTTTAATTTACTGTGTTTAGGGCCCTATTTTCTAACTACTTTTTCGCAACACTTCTTTCACAAATTCTAATAAATTTCCTGAATTTCGAAGGGCAGTTAATTAAACTAACTAATCTAATTCTACATTTATTTTTGGTTCTTTATTTTATTATAATTTAATCCAACTTATCTTAAATTTATTTTACCTTATTCTTTTTATTTTTTTCATTTGTTTCTTTAATCGCTATGATACCGACGGTCAAAGCATACTAAACATACTAGACTCGTTCACATTAAGCAAATGATTTAATTGAATTCAATAAAGTCTGTTTAATTGTGTTATTAATCGCAATACGTATTTATTTTTTTGCAACTACATTTTGTATCGCTGTTCGTCTTCTTCAAACATTTCTATTATCTTTCACGAAATCTATCTATTTATTTTCTATCAACATTTATTCTGTGCTACAAAAGAAACTTATTTAATTTTCAGTACCTTTTAATAATACTTGCTCACATATTTGCAATTTCGCGTGATTTACTAGTGGTTCAAATTGAAAATTAAACTATTAAAACTGTTTTTTTTCATGAATTTGTATGTGTGTAACATACAGTGGTGGTCACATAATTAGGTACACGTCTTCTTTACAAGTTTTGATCATTTATTTTTTTTTACAAAAATATAGTTCACAATACAACTGAAAGTTTCAAGCCTTATATATAATTTCAACAAATGGTCGTCAGAATTTAAAAATTTTTAATCAGGATTTCTAGAAAAAATTGTGTTAGGCAGCTATCTTCTTTTTCATATTTGGCGCTGTAACCGCCTTGTGCAGCTTTATAGCCTATTAAATTTTAGTACAATTAAATGCACGTTTGACGTGACTAGGAATTTGATTTTTTAATTTTTTTTGCTCACGCTGTTGTGCCTTTTTCCACATAAAACATTGTTCGAACATAGTTTGCATGCATGGCAATAATTGTACCATGCTGTGCATGGAAGTAAATTCGTAACAACGCCGGTAAAAAAAATTCTCAAAAATCATGGTACAATAATTACAGGTATTGTCTTCCCAGAGAGTTTTGCTTCACATCGAAATTCGTGCTCCCTTATTTTCATTTTGACGCAGTTCAATGTTGATTCTTTTACTTTTATTTGGCTTTGCTTTTTGTTTTCGCTCAATTTAATTTTTATAATTTTTCAAAACAAAAGAAAAACGTTTGAAATTAAGTGAGCCAAACAAATTTTGAATTTATTTACAAGCAAATGTTTTTTTTCGGCTTTTGCAGATTAAATAAGTTCACTGCAAGATGGTTTGTTTAAAAAAATACGTGTACATATATGGTATATGGGGTATGGAAATATCCCTTTTCCCTAGCAGTAAATGTTTTAGTGTGGGCAATAATGATATTTTTTAAATAAGGCAGATCAGAATATGCGTTCTCTGGGAAGACAATACCTGTAATTATTGTACCATGTCAAAAATCAACGATATTTTTAACTGCTTTAAACTTGTACAATTTTATACTAAAATTGAATGCGCTATAAAAATGCCTACCCGAATTTTTTCTAGAAATTCCGATTGAACATCTAAAGAGATTTAAAGGGCCCATACATGATACCAGCATACTGGCGTCATCAAGTGTTGCTGTCAGCCGATTGATCGTGTATGTTTTTGTGGCGTGATTGCACCAGCTGCTGGTGCGACATCAAAAACGATGAATGGTAAAATTAGCTAATTTTTAACCGGCTTCCAAAAAATGAGGAGGTTATCAGTTCGTCGGAATATTTATTTTTTAATTTTTTTTATTTTTATGTATGTTACCGCATAACTTTGGTTTAGGTCTGATCATTGGATCATGAAATATATATATATACATGTACATATATTTTTTATATGAGAATTGAAGTCTGTTTTTTTTTGCTAAAAATTACTTGTTTCAAGTAAAAAGTATTTTGGCGGAAATTTCTTGCCGCGTTTGTGGAAGATTAATGTTAATAATATTGCAGTTGTGAATTATGAAATTTCGGCTCCACTCATTTCGATCGTTTCCGAACTTCATTTGTAAAGAAATAAATATTGACCAGCATGCTGGTATGTTATATGTTTCGAATTTGATGGTGCAATCACTCGATGGCAATTGTTTTTCAACTCACCGACAACTGTCAATTCTAGCAACTATCTCGAACTTTTCTGTTTTTCGAAAGACTGATCGAAGGATTGCTAACGAGGTTTTAGCGTTATTCTGTCATTTAGCAATAAGTTTTCTAAAAATTAAATAAAATTAAATATTTTTTTCATTTTAAAATAATTAAAAATAAAAAAAATATATTGAAAAAGAAAAATTTTAAAATAAAAAAAATTAAAGAAAAAACAAATATAAGCTTCTAAAAATTGAAAATGAAATAAATTATTATATTTTTTCAAACCAATAAAATCTAAAAATAAAAAAAAATCAATCAAAAAGGGCGAAAAATTAAATCAAAAACAAAAGTTCATAATAATTTTATTAATAAAGAGAAAATAGTAATTTAAAAAAAAGAAGTTTCTAAACATTAGATGATATTAAAAAAATATTTGTCTTTTTAAAACAATGGCTCCCAAAAATTTCAAATGGAAGCGTGCACCACTACATTGAAAACGCAACTTTTTTCACTAGTAAAAAGTGTGAGTACACTAAAAACTCAAACATTTATTAATATAGTTTTTTTTTTTAATCAAAATAAAAGCCAAATTTAGGAAAAAGAGTGAAATCAGTACGCTCTAAAAATCGAAAATTCACTAATGTAGTTTTTTTTTTTAAATAAAACAAGCCAAATTTAAGAAAAAGAAATAAGGAGTAAACATGCTATTTTATGTCCAATTAGATAATAAACACACACTTTTGTTAAACATCGAGCTCCACTCTGCGGGTCTAATTAAAATCAAAGCTCATTGACCTTCATTGTGTTTTTTTTTAAGCTTCATGCGTTTTTATATATATGTATATATATATTTTTTTTCAACGTATATTTTTGGTAGAATAGGCTGTTAGTTAAAAACAAAAATACTTTTAATTCGTTCTAAACGTGCTCTGTATCTACTAATTTGTTGATATATTATTAAATTTTTGTCGTTGATACATATTTCTTTGGCATAATGTTCTATAAACCACTTTTTTTAATTCAGCAACCCATTCATTGCGTGATATAATTTCGATTCAAATCATATCTACTCTTCCATACACTGTGCTTCTGCCTTAAAAATTTCTGTAAATAAAAAATCAACTTCCCAAATACTATTGAATTCCATTTTATTATATTTAAGATTTCAAGTGCAAGATGAAATAAATTTTTTCAGTGCATAGTCGGTAAGTTTACTCCGCAATTTGATTGCGCGACAATAACAAAAGCCAAATAGAAGTAGCAACGTGCACAATTCATACAATATCTGCAAATCGAGCGCTAGCGTACCCAGTCGGATTTGTTTGCTTCAAAAATCTTCTCATAGCGTCGTTTCATGGAATGTAGAAATTTAGCCTTCCAATATAGTAAAAAATTAATGTGTTTATTTTTCGTGCATTTGTTTTCTGCCAAACCTTAAAGAAATTTAGTAAACTTCATATATTTAAAAAAAAAATTACTTTACAAGCAATTATTTTAGGAATTATGTTCTGCATTTTCCTAATGGGCCAGCATGAATGCTTGGGATGTTGGCAAGGGGACTCAAAGCGCGCGCACGGAGATGTGACGGCGCGCGAGCTATGCTGAAGCGGTTTACAAAAACACTAAGCGCAGACGCGCTTAAAAGAAAATTTTATTAAAAAAAAAAAAAAAAAATAATTACAAAATGCATAAAATGAGTTTCTAAAAATTAAATGAAATTTAAAAATATATACTTTAAAATCTAAAAAATAAGAAAAAAATTTCATTAAAAAAAATGCCTCAAGCTCAAGAAAATTGTTTAATATAATTGTTATAAGGCCATAAATATCAAAAACAAAGAAGAAAAACTGAATAAAAAAAAAAACTTAAAAAACCGCTGCCCCAGGATTCGAACTTTGGATTTCTCGAATGGCAAAACCGATGGCGGCGTAAAACCATAGACTTATTATGTCCGTTTTTTGCAAATCAAATTCCGTAATTTCGGGCGTAAAACTTGGCCTAATTACTTCATTTTTGGTTTACTCTCTGGTAAGATTTTTCATTTCCTTCGAAAAAAGTTTTGCTGGAATTGCTAAACTTTTTTTAGAAGTGTCTTATAGAAGTCTTTTTTACATTACCGCACATTTAAATTACCGAAATTTCTGTTACATTGGCATAAATGTTTTAACACCGCTCTGAAATACAGTTAAGGCGATTTTTAAAAAAGAGGAGGTTATCAATTCGTCAAAATATATTTTTTAATGTATGTTACCGTAAACTTTGGACCACGTTAACCGATTTCTATAATTCTTTTTTAAAGGGAAGGTGATACCGCAGAGGTAGTCCCATATTAATTTCATTTAGATCCGATCATTGGATCATGAAGAAATTAACGATAATCTTAAATTTCTATATGAGAATTGAAGTCTGATTTGTTTTTTGCTTAAAAACTTCTTGTAAATATATAAATAACAACAGTTATAATAATCTCAGTAATATGTTCCTGAGCACTGAAACAGATTAATAGATCCATTTTACGTTTAAAAGGAAGTTAAGCTTTAACTTATGGTAGCAACTGCCGAAAAAAGCTGGTTCTTTTTCCTAAACGAAATTTTCTGGACATTTTCGTTCAGAAATCAGCCAAAGTCTTTAGACAAGAGGTGGTCAAAACTCACCCAATTGTATATTTCAAATTTGCTAAACGATGGGAGAAAGAAGAGAATAAGTCGCTTACGCATCTGATGCAAACAGAGTTGTCAACGATTTCGAGTTGCAAATTATAAGAAAAAGGGATTTTCTTTTTTATTATGTAAATAGTGTGAAAGGTAGAGATTATATTAAAGAATTAACCTTTTATTACAGTTTAACTCACTTTCATTACTTTCTTAGATTTTTTATTATGATTAAAATTGAAATTAAAGCAAATAGTTCAATTAATTTATATTAATCTTCTTATTTTGAATTAAAATAAAAGCGATTTTTTAACATTATTTTAAATTCATCTTTTTATTTATGTGCATATGAACGTAATAATTTATTAATTCAATATTTGGAAATAAGGGGAAATTACGCTATAATGGCGCTTAACAAAAAAGTTTGTCGCCCGTGCGATTTCTTCATGACACACCAAACATTGTGCCCTCCCTACCCATTACTACATAGTGAGTAAAAAATCTACATCCGAAGCCATATTAAACATTTTTACCGTGTCTTGCAGCGACTCGATTGCTTGAAAGTTTCGCATCGATTGAGCACGATCACAGCAAAACCATAATCGTCGGGATCACTGTTTCATAGAGTATGCTCATGTATGTCTGAATGTAAAGTTTAGACCAATTGGGCCTCCGCACACTAGCCTGCTCAGTCGGTACGCGAAAGTACGAAAGGTACGCGAAGATCTGCCATTGCCTGCAGAGGGGGGACCAGTATTATAGCCCAGTTATGCATTCTTTGCACTGCTATAATATTTTTACGTAAAAATCAAAACCCAACAGAATTTTACATGTGAAGTTCTATGCGTTGGATAACCGCTTACATGCAAAGCCCATTTAATAGATTCCTTATGTGACAACTCTCATGCAACGCTAAGTATGCATAACTGAAATATTAGAAACAACTCTTTTGGATGTTGCTTAGACCAAGGATATAATAAGTGAAGTGAATCACTGCTAGCCTCCCGCAATATTGTTAGCTGCGCACACACGGTCTGTGCGTGAAAACACGTAACTCACGGTAGAAATTATTAGGGGTGTTCCTTTAAACTCGTAAAAGCCTCGTAAATTTACGAGCCTCGTAAAAGAACTGTCAAAATTTGTATGGAGCTCTATTTACGAGCCCCTCGTAATATTCGAGGCAAATGACTTCGTAAACTTCAGTGTTGCCGAGGAGCCGAAAATTTTATATTAAAATGCATTATCTAATATTGAAAACAAATGAAAAATAATATGTGAATAAAAAGAAATGAATTTCATCCTCTAACTGTACTAACATGGGTTTTCTGCTGATTTTCGGCATTTTAAATTTTATTTTAGCCAATAGTGATAGAGACAAGATGGTGGGCTGTTAGGGAAAGTAATATGAAACAAAAACTGTTTCATAAAATCCAGCTTGATCTGTCAAACAGTCACTTTACACACCTATTTACACACTTTCACAAAGGGGGTGTTCCCATAAAAGCCTCGTAAACTTACGAGTTTTACACAGTTCAAGACTTTACGAGCTTAAGGGAATCCCCTATTTTTTTTAGCTAAATAAAAATTAAAATTGTTTTTTTTTTTTTTTAGATAAGCGGATATTGGCAAACTTTTTATCTCAAGCGGGAATTTCACAGAAACCCTTTATTCATGCCACAATTTAATAAACAACCGATTAATTTTACTTCACTGATTGCAGCAGCTTAAAATGTTTGCGATGCAGTAACTTAAGAATTTATAAACATAAACATACATATTTAATAAATATCTATTCATTTATATATACATACATACATGGTATATGTTATAGACATAACTTATTTTGTATATTTCTCTGTTTTTTTATCATTACAGAAAGGATACAAACCTTAAATGATTTATAGCGGTGTCGGCCGGTCAGCAATGTGCTACACAAGCTCACCATATTTGATAAAATAAATAAAATGATATTTTAAGTTTTTCTACACAAGTAACCATAAAAATATTTATTTACTCATTCCTTAATAAAGTTTGTTCACGCAAATTAAAATTTTCTGCTTGAATAAATACAGATATAATATACTATATATATATATGGAATAACATGAAAAAGTATGAAAATAAAAACGTGTTATATTTTATAATAAATAAATGTAGTTATTACGTAAATAAACGATCGTCTGCTATTTTAAATTAATGAATAATGTATGTAGTGGCGATACGTTGGGTACATTAGTCAAAAGCACTTTCTGTGTGACACAAATACTGTCAGTTTATTTATTTTTCGCAAGTGTTAGTTGCTAATCAAATATTTTTTTTTTTTTTGGTTTCTTCTATACATTTTGTACAACTTAAGCTAATTGTCAAGAAAAACGAAGGAGGGTGCATATAAAAATATAGTATATGCATAAACTTAATCATCGGAATTTTGGTAATGCTTTCGGCGGAATGACGCTAATTTCAAACGTTGCATTTGTAGTGCTTGCTCCAGTTCTAAGACTTTTACATGTATCTCCATTTCCATTGTTTTTGCCTGCGACGAATTTAGCTTAGTGAAATCGACTTCATGTAACTGCTCTAGTGATTGGTTACAATCCTTAACGGTGGCCACCACTTGACCAGTCGCTTGTGAGACATCACGTGATGCTTTCGTTAAATCACCCAACTTTTGGCTCTCCTTGGGCGCTTTCACTTTGCTTGCAATCACCAATTGTGCTGTACAGGCGGCGATTTCCTGCGCTGCGACTATTATTTCAAAGTTTTGCGCCGATTCGGATACGATAGCTTTGTTGGCAGCTTCCACAAGCAGATTGGCACCTTTGGCAACACTTTTTGCTGCAGATATCAGGCCCTCCGTCCATTGGCTGTTACGTTTGTAGAACTCCTTAATTGAGGTGGTTCCTGTGTGAGAATGTGTATGTAGTATAGGTTTATTTGATAAAAATTATTTGGAAGCACTTACCTCGCCCTGCCGACACAATCTCCTCCTGCAAGGCCTTGGCTTTTCTTATCAATAGTTTGATACACTGCATTAGGAATGTGCAAGCATCGAGAATTTTCTCGTTCACTTCCAACTTTATGCCGTCATCTTTGCAGCGTGCGTTGGAGAGCAGCTCTACAAATTTCTCCGCAGCCTCTTCGATGGCTTTATCCATTTCGGCTAATTCGTTTTCCACTAAATCGCCTAAATCGATATTCTTACTGCTCGCCTTGTTCAGCTGAGCTACTGATTTATTTAGCGCGCTGAGTTTTAGCTTGATATCCGCAATGGAATATCGAATTTTCGAAATATCTTCGCTATTTTTAATTTGCTGAAAGAGTGTGAGTAGCGGCTCCTTTGCGCTGTTTATTTGATTATAAATTTCTGCAAACAAAAATAGTTTTATTGAAATCACATGAGTTTATCTACTATCCACTTTTCACCTTCGCCCTTTCCTATATCGGTGGTTGTATTGTATATCAACAGGCACTGTTCATGTAACGTTACAAAAACGCAGCCCAAAAGTATTGTCTTTCGCGTGACATCGTCAACGAGTAGTTTATCTGTGATAAACTGTTCATAAGCGTTATCCGCTTGCTCTAATAACTCTTCCATATCACCCACCAGTTTTATTGTCTTATCGAAATTCGGTTGATTCGTTTCGTTTACCTTTGCCTCTGTCACTAATTCCATTGTCTTCAAAACATTTTTAAATAATGCAGTAATTCTGTTTTCATATTTTTCTACGCTTTTGCGTTTGGCCTCCACTTCTGATTGGTAGGCTGTGTTGCTTTCGTTAAATTTTTCCTGTAAATGGTTCTTCTGCTCAAGTAATTCATGTAGCTTTTCAGTATTAGTGCGTTGTAAGGTTTCCAAATCGGCCACGAGCACATTAGTTTCCTGAAATAAATAAATGTGGGTATACAAAAATTGAGAAAGATGATAAACTTGATTTAACAACAAATTCAGTCAAGTGAAAGGTTGTACCATATGGTATCAAAACGGGCTATCTATTGGACTATGTGAGAGGTAGCATACTCTCCAACCTTTCCAAGCTAACCTATACATTTGTTTGGTCAAAGAGTGATTGGGTTTTAGCCATATTTTATAGACAACTGGAAAGGAAAACTAGACACGGTACAACCCTCACTCGATCTATCTATCATTAGCTTCTTCTCTTTATTCATTTACAATTACAAAACGCATATACGCACCTTCAAATTAAGTTCTAAAGCATACAAATTAGTCTCCAACTCCTTAATATTTTCCACTTTCTCTAAAATCTCTTTTGCATGCATTTTTCGCAACTCGTTTAAGTTTTCATCCCTTAGATCCATACTTCTTTTGAATTTATCTAATATTACAGCGTGTTCCACTTCCTTTTTCGCGAGTTCTCCATTTACGGTGTTAAGCTGCGTTTCAAGCTGTGCAACTTTCGATTCACTTTCAATTAAAGCAGCCGTTTCTGTTTGCAGCTTCACTGCTTTGGCAGTTAATTCAGAAATTTCACTATTCTTATTAGTGGTAAAACTTTGGTATTCTTTTCTCAACTCTTCATGCTCATGTTGTAGCTTCTGATAATCACGTGATATTGTTTCGATTTGCGTTGCTAAAGCAAGCTTTTCAGCGCCGATTACTTCATTATTTTCAAGTTCGCCTTTGATTTCGTCAATTTTTGATGTGAGGGTCTCCACTTCTATTTTTAATTCAGCATTCGTTTGTTTTTCACGATTTAAATTTTTAGTAGATTCACCTTGCTGTTGGAAATATTGAAATATAAGAAATTGAATTGATACAAGCTGCTGTATAAGTTATGTATTGAATAGAAACGCAATAGTTCAATGAAAAACTCAGTTCAAAATATTGTAGTTAGTCTAACCAAGCATGTCATCTAAACTGTTTTAAATCAGATAAAAACTTTTTTATTTTTGTGTTGTTTTGTAGCCCTTACCTGCCTCAATAAATTTATGTGCTCATCTCTTATTTGCGTGTACATAGCTTTTAGTTTGTTAAACTTTTCCTCTGATGTCTTAGCCTTTTGTTCCTCTTCGGTTGCCTTTTCTACAAGAAATGTTGTGAAATAAATACACAGCTATTTGTATTTTTCCGTTTTCACTATTTTTCGCACTTACGCACTAGAATTGGCGTCTCTACCAATTTTTGTTCCAAAGCTTCTTTCATAGCCTGCATATTTGCACAAAGTTCCTTTGAATGTTCCAATTCGCTAGTCAATCCGGCAATATCATTACGCAAACGTTTTAATTCGCGTTCGAAATTCTTTTCCATCAGTTCATAATTCTGTTTACATGAAACCAACTCAGTCTGAACATCTTGCAATGCATATTCATAATCTCGAATAGTATTTTGTAAAGCGGCATTATCGACCAGGTCAGGTCCAGCAGCGGTTGGAGTGCTAGCCGCTGACTCTTGTGTGATGCTTGTATCGACTAAATTTTCCATAGGTGGTTCCGGATCGGGTTGCACATACATTACAGGTGGCACATAGCTACCAAAATCTACTTTCGATGTGAAATTCGGTGCTGATTCTGGTAGATGTGGAACCTGTATCAAATCTGAGAAATACTGAAGGGGTCGTACATTGTCATAGAATACTTTGATTTTGAAAAACAGTTCACGAAAACGATCACGATGCCCAGTTAGAATATCATTTGGCAGCTTATCATGCAGCTTGAACATAACACGTACACACAAATCGTATAAGGGATTTGAGTCTTGTATGAGTGTTATTAAAGGTGCTAGCCGGCATTGACCCTGCGGTGTCATGGAAGACATGCGATATGCATTAATGGATGCAAACACTCGCGATTGCACGTCTAGAATGTCATCTAAATAGTCGAAAATTTCGACACAAAGCTGAAAACTGAAAAAGAAAGAATAAGTATGTACGTATATATGTATGCATGTAGATATGTACATATGCATATAATAATATTTTTGCGGGGTTGTGGTTACTATATGTATGTATATACATATATCTGTGGACCAGTTACATATATTGTATTTGAGTTGAACTGATATTTTTAAAGGTCATTTCTTTTTGAGATACAAATTTTATTTTTTCCAATTGCCAAGAGCTCAACTATACAAAAATGTATTTTTAACAAATGCATCATAAAAAACAGATAAGACTTTTGGTATTATAAATAATAATGTTCATATCTGTAGGTGATTTTTTGGTTGCGTGGCTAAAACAGCAGTCGTTAATAATTCATTCGTTTTTTGATTGCTTTATGGTTTTTCCAAACCTTTGGTTATTTGACCAGACGCAAAACTGATGGAAGTGACAAAACAAATTCAAATATCTTGCAGCCGTTGCATGTACTAAACTAACCACGCGTAAATAGGTAAATGTTGATTTTAGCCAATGTATTTATGTACATAGGTGTGAGTAAGTACAAATAATTTTTTACCTTTTTAATCTAACTTTACATACTATTCATAAATTCTGCTCATCTCGTTCGGGTTTCAATTAATTCAATGTTAATACATATAAGTACTTGCTTTCTTGGATATCTCTATACATAGGGTTCAATACTTACTAAATGTTGATGTCATCGTCGGCAGCTTTTTCAATTTCTTTGAAGTCTATCAATAGTGAACCGGGAAACAATACATTTTTCTCATGGAATTCCAGTTTTGTTACAACAAGCTTACTATAAGCTTGTATGCAATTGCCTACACCGTCTTGTAAATGTCCCCATAATTTACCCATTTCTAAGATCATTTTCTTATGAGTCTGCGAATCTTTGATGGCGCTTGTATGTCCCTCCCTTAGCACCTTATGTAGAAGGTGACAAAATTTCCACGCAGTAAATCGATTCTCCATCAAAGGTTGACGTGTGAAAATCATCCAAAGAGACTTCGCTTCCTTAACGCGATGAGTGGTTATTATAATAAATCGTGCATGTTTCATTTTTAGCGGGGCCTCCATTGGATTTAGTGCTTTGTTAACACTAACAGACTTGAAAAGAAAAACATATGTATATATTTAAACAGGTGAAACGTAAACTAATTATTCTCATATATACTTACCATGTTGTACATCTCTTTATCGTAGGTCGGAGCCATTTTTGTACGCAGTTTTCCCTCTATTGCTGAATTTTATTTAAAATTGACTTATAGGCATGCAACGAAAGTTTAGAAAGAATATACACCTGATGCAAGTTGGACAATCTCAATACACAATATATCTATATACACAGAATATGCCACACCTTTAGGCACTTTTGCATTTATCATATAAAAATATGCACATGAACTGGGCCAAATTTTGGAAACGAATAAAACACGACGAACAACACCACTATTGATAGGCTTTTTATCTTATCTTCCAATAACATTCTTCCGCGCATACGTTTGTTCAAATAATTCCCCAATTATTTCGGTGTCACCAAGTCATATCTTTTAGCTTAAAATATTTAATATAAGGTCGCTCTACCAATATAAACAATTGGAAATCGCAATTTGAGTCATTTATTGTGCAGATCAAAACATCTGGAAGCTAATGTTGCCGGTTGACTGCATTTTAAGTTTTGCAAGAATCTAATTAAGGCTAGTATTCGACTAAACAAATTTTGCGTGCGCATTTACGGCAGAATTTTGTTTGAAAGAAATACGCTCATGCCTTTGATTCAATAATAAAATTAATAATAGTAGTCGAATTATACGCAAGCGTAGTGGGAGATCTGTATAAATATTTATAACAATTTTGTCAAGAAACTCTTAAACACAAAAAGACCACGTCTGTACTCAAACTTTACAACATTTGTTTAGCACTGAAGTGCGATGTACTACCTAGATAAAGGCAAGTGGCACTCGGATTTATATAATTTTGTATTCTATCATTCTTGATATCTGTGGAAGAATTTTATGCTTCCAAACTGAAGCTACTAACATGTTGGGTTGTGTAACGCCCGCTTATGAAAAAATTAAACAACTTAATTATATATATATATAGGATATTAATGAAACTGTCAATATTAGTTAATGAAAATAAGTGGCAGCGTCGTATACTTGCACGATTTGAAGGGAAGTGTGATCAAAACAAACCAGAAAATATATAAATAAATAATATGTCGCATTTCCTGACGCGGTTAATTCTACTGTATTCCTTTTTTATAAGTAATATACATTGGAAAAAATCATCCACACAATATACCAAGGCGGAAGAAGTGATATTTGAAAGCAAAATATTGGAAAATGAGTATATCGTGCAGTACCGGCACTATTACTTTCCGGCTGCGAGACGAAAATTCTTAATTGCTGCCTTCCGTCGTTCCAATGTATGTAAACGTTCTTACCTTCAGAATATGTATTTAAATTTTAACATAATAGCTTCTTACAGATTGCTAATTGGAACATAATTGAACGACAGAATGCTGCACTTCATTACCCAAGTGATTTTGATGTTATACGATTGGATGCAGTCGACTATCGACGATCTACTCATCTAACACCACTTGAATTGCATCCACTTATAAAAAAAATAACGCCACAACGTAGTCTGCAAAGAATCTTAAATTTTAATACCACTCATGAACGTATAGGTCGACACCTATTGCGCTCAGTGCCTACCCAAATCACAAATATGCTAAAAGCTGATGTGTTGTGGGGAATGGGCATCACGGGTGCAGGAGTGAAAGTGGCCGTTTTCGATACCGGTTTGGCTAACGCTCATCCGCATTTTCGTCGTGTAAAGGAGCGCACTAACTGGACAAATGAGAAATCTTTAGATGACGGTGTTAGTCACGGCACTTTTGTTGCGGGAGTTATTGCATCAGCTAAAGAATGCTTAGGCCTAGCGCCAGATGTGGAGCTACACATTTACAGGGTTTTTACCAATTCGCAGGTAAATCAAACTTTTGATCGAAAATCACTAAATTCAATACATATTTATAGCAACATTGCAGGTGTCATACACATCTTGGTTTTTGGACGCTTTCAATTATGCTATTTTCAAAAAAATTAAAGTTCTGAATTTAAGCATAGGGGGCCCAGATTTTCTGGATCATCCGTTTGTAGACAAGGTGCTTGAATTATCTGCAAATAAGGTTATTATGATCTCTGCAATCGGAAACGACGGTCCACTCTACGGTACACTCAACAACCCAGGCGATCAAAGTGATGTTATAGGCGTAGGCGGAATAAATTTCGAACAAAAAGTAGCAAAATTTAGTTCTAGAGGCATGACCACTTGGGAGCTACCTTGGGGTTATGGTAGACTAAAGCCCGATATTGTAACGTTTGGTAGTCAGGTGAAAGGCAGCAATGTTCATGGTGGCTGCCGTTCGCTCTCTGGCACTTCAGTTGCTTCTCCAGTGGTAGCCGGAGCTGTGGCGTTAATAGCAAGCGGCGCACTCTCAAAACTGGACCTCATCAATCCCTCATCTATGAAACAGATATTAATCGAGGGAGCGGAACGTCTACCCGATAATAATATGTTTGAACAGGGGCATGGGAAGCTTGATATATTGAAAAGCATGCAATTGCTGTTAACATATGAGCCAAAAATAACTCTTAGCCCAGAATATTTGGATTTCACCGATAGTTATATGTGGCCATATAGCTCACAGCCGATTTTCTATGGCAGCATGTCGGTCATTGCAAATGTTACCATATTAAATGGAATAGCCGTGACGGGAGTAATCAAGGAAGAGCCAGTATGGCACCCACATGCAGATAGACATGGAAATGTTTTAAATATTGCGGTTTCTTATTCGGCAAGTTTATGGCCATGGTCAGGGTGGATGTCGGTTCATATAGGTAAGCTGTTTAAAAACCAATAGATTGGTTGAACATCCGAACTAGTATTTTGGAAAATAAAAATTTGTAATTTCAGCTGTAAATAAAAATGGTCATGATTTTAAAGGTGTTGCTGAAGGACATATAAGTCTAGAAATCGAGTGCTTACAGGAACAGCAAGAACGAACTGTTTTGACCAAAATAAACTTTCCTCTAAAGGTAGCTGTCATACCGAAACCTCCCCGAAATAAGCGAATACTTTGGGATCAATTCCACAGTTTGAAATACCCTCCGGGTTATATACCACGTGACAACCTGAAAATTAAATCCGATCCGCTAGATTGGCGTGCCGATCACCTGCATACCAATTTTCGTGATTTGTATACCCATTTGCGCAATACTGGCTACTATATAGACATTTTGCGTATGCCCTACACTTGCTTCAACGCTTCTGAGTATGGCACACTCCTCATCGTTGACCCCGAAGAAGAATACTTCGATGCAGAAATAAAAAAGATTGAAAATGATGTATATAATGAAGGATTGAGCGTGATAGTATTTGCTGATTGGTATAATACTACGGTAATGAAAAAAATTAAATTTTTCGACGAAAATACCCGCCAATGGTGGATACCGGATACGGGGGGTGCTAATATACCAGCGCTAAATGAGTTACTAAAGGCTTATGGCATTGCGTTTAGTGATTTCATCGCCGAAGGTTTTTTCACCATGGGCGATCATTCAATGTATATTGCCAGTGGCACAACTTTAGCGAAAATACCGCGTGGAACAGACGACATCGTTATAGGTGCAGATGTGCATGATCAAGGCTTTGAGGTAAACCTATTTACTTCTTATATTTGAGTAAGTTCATACATACATACTTAAATAATATGTATTTACGCTTTTCGCAGATTTTAGAAAACCCCAATACGGTTGATAATAAAAAGGTATTCAAGCCAATTCTAGGCCTCTTTCAAACTGAAAACGAGCTACGCAAGCAATTTTTAGTGGATAATGCGCAAACACCTTCTAGCTATGAAGAGAATAATGTTGAGCAACCAAATATTGAGACAGAGATATCAGCTGAAAGGAATCCAATAATCAACAAACGCATATTGCTCGATTACAAAATTGGAAAATTCAGTAACAATAATTACAACAAAAACAATGATGACACACTTAATAAGCCTTCTGAAAAGAATAGTAAAAATTCAAAACAAAGACTGCAACCTATGTCGATAAGCAGCACCAGTTCAAGTGGACGCATTGCAGTGTTCAGTGATTCAAATTGTTTAGACTCCATTCACCTGGAGAAGGCATGCTTTTGGTTATTGGATGCTATACTTGAATACACCATGCATTCGCACAAATCTGAACTGCTGCAAAAATTGAATCACGTTTCAGAGTTTTATCCCAATTCTGTGCGAACTCCGCCATTGCGTTTACATAGCAGTAATTTGCATTTGCACTCGAAAGTTATTGACTCAAATAACAAATTTCACAAAAAAGAGACTGGGGCATGTGAAAACCTCGATTGGCTGCATCCGCAGAGTGTTAACGCAGCTGAACTCAAATTAACTGCGAATCGAGTGAAGCAAATCGATTTGAATTTACTAAAAGCTAATGCAGGTAAGTGTGATTCTATTTAACTAGAGGCTGATGTGATTTGCATTTTTAACTCACATGATTTTTATTTTTATCTTAAAGATCGAAACGTTGCGGAGATATTAAATGCACATGTCGGGGCTAAACTCAATTCCCTGCCATTGGGCCCGGATGATGAAAGAACCATTAAAATGTCTCTGATTTTCATTATGCTGCTGACAAGTTTAGTTCTCATTTTCTTTTTAAAATGTTTTAGAAGAAAAAGAGGTTGATTATTGGCATAGTTTTTCATGATGTTAAAATAAGTTTTTTTCTATACCAATGTAGAATTAATTAATTTAGATAATAAATATTATAAAACATTTAATAATACATATTTAGATTTTTTCTTATTTTGGGTTTTTCGGTTTGAGTCGGTTAATTCTTAAATAGCTGGTAGCAAGGCGAATTAATATAAATTGGTGCATTGATACATAGATATATAGTATATCGTCGTTTAAGGTACAAAACCGCGTATCAAGAAAATGCAAAACCGCGTATGTGAGGTTGCATAAATTATTTTCTAGAGAGTAAAAACACTCATATTTCAAAATGGTTCTCTTTTATATAAATCAATCGCATTTCTGGCTAGTATATTTCAGGACAAATGGATGGGATTGAGCCAAAAGCTTGTGTGAGCAAATCCAATTTTTGCCAGAAAATGTCAGTTACGCGGTTTTGCAGAACGACGATACACGGTTTTGTTCTTTAAATGACGAAATGTACATACATATGTATGCTTATTAGATCGTACCAGAAGAAAAGTTCATCGTACACCCTTGAGTCTAAAGTATTTTTGAAAGGCAATTTCTAAACCACCCATTTTTTGCCGTAGTGGTGATAGCATTTTTACATTTGTCGTCATATCTTCGACATTACAGTTAGATCTTAAAGCATGACATATCGATAAGCTTGTCTCGAAAATAAATTTTTTGTTCCGGGGTTCATTAGTGGTAAGTACTAGACCGATTAATCGGCATCGGCATCGGCTAGTATCGGCCAAAAGAATCGGCATCGATTCTTAGCCGATTCTTTTTACTTTTTCGAAAATGTCAAAAACTGTTTTTTCTTCGAAATCAAAGCGTGCCATGTCAAATACAAAATAAAAAATTGAAATTGGAAAAAAATAAAAGTCGTTGCAACTTTCTTAGTAAATTTGTTCGCTTCTCGAAACATTGATCCATCTTTTGCAAGGCCCAGTAATCAGCGGTTGTGCTGCTGGGTAGGGCGAACGTTCCAAAAGCTGCTATTCAATCTCTTACTTTGTGTGGAAAAAGGTTTCACATGCAAATAGATTTCAAAAATTTAGAATTTTTGTGAGCAAAATTTGACATTTTCGAGACCAAATAATTTGAAATATATCAAATCAGCTGCTCTAGTGATACTATTTGTTCAATGTGCCTAGGTATGTACGTAAATAAGTGAATAGATTCTTGAATGATTATTTGTTTTGTAATGTTGTTTGTTTATGTTTTTCTGTTATTATAAAAGTTTATCAAAAACATTTGCGCTTGAATGAATTTATATTCAGGTAGTTTTTTTTTAAGGAACGGCATCGGCATCGGCCGATTCTTTGCCCTAAGGCCGATTGATTGGAATCGGCATCGGTCAAAAATTGGCAATCGGTCGGAAAAGTAAAGTCGGAATTTTAATGCTCTCACCCTTTACGATTGTTCTCTACCGAAAACTTATTTTATTTATTTATTTTGAAATCAAAATATATTTAGAGGTCGCTCAAACCGCTTAAACTTAAATAAAACACCTCCTTGAGGTAAAATTTTCGAGTGACGAAAGCTGGGCTCGAGCCGTCACAGTCGTGAACGAGCAACTCGTCAAGTAAAAATGAGTATTTCGGATTATAACAGTCGTGAACGTACTGCTCGTCTCGTATACCGAACTACGAGACGAGCAGTACTGGGTTAATGCAATGACAAAACTGTTGTCAAATAAGCGCATCGAAACTAAATATGTCATTTAATCATATATGTAACACTCCTATATTGGCAGTAAGAGCCAGTGATCGGATTTCTATCACTTTTTTGAGCATCTACCACACGATGTCTGAAATCTATCACATATTCGCATTTTTAAGTAGTTTTATTTTTGCTCGACATAATTTTCTTAATTTTAAGAGCAAAAATTGTCCAACACTAAACAGTAATAAGAGGCAGAATGGGAGGATAAAATAAACTGTAAAATAGTAAATCTTCTCAATATTCAATTTTTTAACAGGAAACGTGGTTTTATTGTGTTAAATTGCTAAATATATGATTTATAAGAAGAATTAATAGCGAAAATGTTAAAAAACGGCGATTTTTGTGAAAGTATTGGCAAATTTCAGTGCATCTAAAGTTTCTAAAGCATTATTTACTTTTACTTGAGAATTGTCAAAATCGGCAAATCCCAAGTAGCGGTTTCCGGAACGTGCCACATTAATTCGCTACATCGGGATGCAAGGTTGCAGAAATCTTTAAAAATATGTTCCAAAAATATCTTGATATGGAAGGAACTGCATTTGTTAAGGAAAAAAATTTTCCAAAACTCAATGCAATTTTTAGCAACTTCAATCTTGCACTTTATTGTACTAAAATTAATTTTTTTAGATTCTAATTAAAATGTTTGCAATTTAGGTGAAGCCTTGCAGATTTTTTTTTAATTTTTGTACAAGGTTTGACCCAAAACCTGAAATCTACCACATTTTTTTTTAAATCTACCACGTTTTTTTCCAGATTCTACCACACAATTTTTAAATCCGAACACTGGTAAGAGCTAGTACCGTCCGAAAACATTACATTACAGTACAGATATATCAATAAACACGTACAAAAAAAGGAACACATACGTTTATAAATAAACATGAACACAACACAAACACAAAAACGGCGCTCACGTACACAATACCTACACAAAAACCGTACTAGACTGTCTCGAGACAAAAAGCGACCGCTTTGATTTCGGAATGCTTACACATTGAGAAAATAGCTTACTGCCAATATAGAAGTATTACATATATGGAGATATTGACTTCTCTTTGTTTATTACACTATGAAATTAATTTATAATGTTGCCAGTTTCAAATGGGTTAATGCAATGACAAAACCGCAGTCATATAAGCGTATAAAACATCGGCCCTATTATGGCAGTCGACTTCGACGTCGATGTAATTTTTTCACCAAAAAATAGCCCTCGTAAGTCAAACTCCAGAGAGAGGGGCGGTCTGACGTTTACCAGCAATATAATTTTAAAATTCAAAACTCAAATTCACACACACATTCTCATTTTCAATCTCAAATAATAACAATTGTGAACAATTTCATTTTTTTTTTTTCAATTTTATACGTTTTTAAAATGCTTGCAAACGTCAGAAAAAAAAATCATGGCCGACGAATTGAGAGAATGATTTTACAAATACAAAGGACCTTTCAGGTCGTAGTGTCTTTTATTCTGACATACCCTAGCTTTTATATATCTGTGTATCTAAATGTATTCACCGAATATTTTTTCTAGGCGTTTTTACAAAGTTATTTAATTTTTAGACGAATTGCTTTACTTTCATACACTGCGATCCAGAAGCCTCTTAACGCCCTAGTTAGTTACTGTACAGTATATCGTTACCTTAATATGGAAAGGCCCTATCTCACATCGTCGCTGATATACAAAAAGCCGTAACTAAGTAAAAATCCAAAATTCCCTTTTTAATTGATTATGATACATTTCATCGAATTTATAAGTCCAGACATCATCTTAAGCAATAAAAAATTTTAGTCAGTTACGGCTTTTTTGCCTTTCAGCTACTATATGAGTTAGGGCCTTTCTATATTAAGGTAACGATATGTATAAATAAATACAAGAATTATTTTATAACAACTAAGTATGTAATTAGATTATATTATTAAATTTTGTATATGCAATGGGTACGGTAATTTTCTTAACCCTTTGCGTTGTAAGCAACAAATGGCTGTTGAACAAGTTTCTGCCAAGCTTTCGAGTGAGCAACGTCGAGAAGAATTCGTTTGCTTTCTTGAGAGTTGATAGACCTATAAAAAGTTAAATGTTTTTAAATAATAATAAAATAGCCAAAATGCTATACATCGCTTCTGTTACCTTCAGTAATGAAGCCTTGTAGCGTGCACACTCTCTTCTCTTAAAATTAAATTTTAGTGGATGCTTTTGATTGGAAGCCTTCGATAAACCAACGCGATTTAAACTGGAATTTGTATCCCTCATCAAACGTGAGATCTATAGAGAAGTATAGCTTATAGAAATGGAATACTCATCAGGATATTTAGGTTACTACCGAAATTATGGCCTTTTCTTTTACCAAATTTATCAAAATCTTACCAAGTGATCAACATTGATGTGCTTCACCTCTCTGTGGTTGTCCAAATATTCATCTGGGAAAGTTTGTTCCACATTTGTGTCTTGCGCTTTAATTCCTTTCACTCTAGGCGTTGGTCCTTTCTCCGCTGTAGCGAAGAGTCCTCGTGCTTCTGCCATCTTTATGAGATATTTTGCATTTAATTGTGTGATTTTCGTTCTTTTAATCAAAGAGAGATAACAACCATTGGACTGCTTGATCATGCAATTGTCTTGGTTAATACATATGTCTGGTATATTTTCACATACAAATTCATCAGTATCTGGCAGCAGTACGCTGTCCTCACTGTTATCCGCTTCAACATTTTGCTCTACCGATATCTCGGACTTCGATGCACCACCAGCCTCTGCTTTACCCTTTTCATCTGCCGTTGCGCGTTTTCTGGGCGACCCCATTGCGGCAGCGGGTATATTAGCAGCCTCTGCATCGGCTAATGCTTCCAGTCGTTTCTTCTCCCTGAATGCATTTTTATGCTTTGTTAGCGATGTTTCGTTTACAAGCTTGACGGCATAATTTACCATATCTTGATTTTCCGATGATACAATTGAATGTGTTTGGTACAATATAAATTGTATCTGTGGTCTAGCCATGGCCATTTGTAGTGTGAGTAGCTGCTCTTCGAGTATCAGCGACACTCTACGCTTGCCTTCATCACTTATCTCAGATTCGGTGAGTACTTCTAGCATACTCAAGTCGCCGCCTCGTGAGCAAATCAAATCTATCGGATCGGAAATTGCACTAAAAGAATTCGGTGGATTGGCGAAAATACCGACGACGTAGCCGAAGCGTTTCGATTCCAACGGAAACGAAGTAAACACTTCGTCAAAAATGCGTATATTACTTATGCCTAGAACTTCCATAAAGCGGCGATACTCCTTCAGATTCGGACCTGCGCCGTAGACATAAAAGTTGTTTACTCGATTTACGGAATAAAATAGTGATGCTAGATATGCTGTGG